GTTATAGCCCCGGATGTCGGCTTTTCGTCCTCTCACTTTGGTGAGAAAACGCCTCCACCACTTGGCTGTACAATCAGACCGAACGGTCATGCCAGGGATGAAATCTAACTTTGTGTGGATGGAGCTAGAAGAAAAGCCTTCCTGCAATTCCTCAGACCGTTGTGGAACCGATGCACAATGAGCTTGAACACCAAGCCTCGGGTTTATCAGGCTTCCATCCGCTCCATCTTCATTCATGCTTGTAAAACATGGCCGTTAAGAGTACAAGATACAAAGAAGCTTGAGGTATTTGATCATAGGTGATTACGCCGCATCTCGAAAGTAAATTGGAGATACCGGATTTCCAAAGATGACGGCGCTGTTCGAACATTGACAAGCTTTCGTAAATGCTACAACGCCAGCGCCTTTGATGGTTTGGCCATGTACTCCGAAGGTCCGGCACTCAACTCTCGCTGCAGGCTGTAGTCCCTGCTCCGTGCCGCGGATGGCGTTGCCGACCCGTTGGTAAACTTAACATCTGGAGCAGTACGATCCAGACGGACTTGGAATTACTGGACCTCCAGTCCGTGTATAGAATTCGTAACTGGAACCAGAACTGGGTCTCAAACGGTGGCAACCTTACCACCGATCGTCAAGTATGAGCCACTATCATTAGAGACATCCAAGAAGTCAACTTATCCTCCCGAGGGAGTTAGTCGTTCAAAAGTAAAAATAAGTAATCACGAACAGGTGACATTGCACCAAAATCCGCTAACCGAGGGGAAAGAGACTGGACAAAAAGTGATAGTCGACGCGCACGTCAGTTTTGTTGTTCAAAATATCTCAGCACATGCATGAATCATGCTGTTCACTTACTTATCCTTCGAGGTGCCGGCAGAAATATGGTTCATTAGTTGACCGTACTCCTCCAACAAATGACGCTTGTAGTTCTCAAATGGTACGTGCAAGTCTTTCGGTAACCATACCGGTAACTGGGGTGAGATAGTGCGATCAGAAAACGCACGCAGGAGTTGGGTTGTTCCGAAGGCTCTACGCAATGCCTGGGGCCAAACACGCGTCGCGAACATGTATAACGGGCTGAAAACACAAAAACGTATTCATAGTATGGTATAAGGATGAAAAACAATGAATAGAATTACTGAGAGCAAACGACCGATTCGAAGAAAACAAGGCATTTGGAGCTGAAATGTAGGGACTTTATTTATGAATTCAAAATAAAGAAATCTAGCTATGACTGTACAAAAGTAAAAAGAAACTATGGTTTTAGGAAATTTAAACCCCGAAAAACATAACGTCGTTCTGTTTGGGCGGGGCCACCGAGTCGGTCATCAGTGTCCACGTTAGCAGAGGTATCGATCGGTCCATCTAACAGCTTTGTCTCCTCTGGAACACCAGGCAACAACATAGGAGGTATCCAGAATTCTTTGGAGGGTTGAGTGAATAGTACAAAGTAGTCAACG